AAGGTTAAGCTCTCAAGTTCCCCTTTAAGCAAAAACTCAAGCATAATTTAAAATCACCCATGAAAAATCCCTTAGCTTGGGAGGTGAGTGCTCAAGAACTCAAAAACCAAGAACTAACATCTTGGGTGTCTATTTGGATTATGCCTTTAGTTTCCATTCCCCTCAGGGCAGCAGAGCCCAGGGGCTACTATGAGCAGGGGATGGCAAAGGCTTAAGGCAAAGAATTTCTTTCTCCCTGTACCCTGAGCTGAAAGAGTTGATTTTACAAGTTAAATTGAGTGTATGATAGGACTCCGTTGTATTTGCAAGGCATAAGCTAGGTGCTATCAGGCAAAGAAATGAACCTAAAACCCCTGCCCTCATGTAACCTATATAACCCAGTTGGGAGATACTGGCTCATTCTCTCAAAATGGTAGATGACAGTTAAACATGAAATCATCAGAACTGTCAAACATGTGATACTAAGTGCTACAGACATCCAAAGGAATAAGAAATTGCTATACTGTAGGCTGGGCTCAAAAGGCTTTCATGGGGGAATTTAAACTGGCTCCGGAGAAACTGATTGGTTCTCAGTCAGCCCGTCTTAAGAACGAACATAATCAGTGTTCCACACAAAACACACCCAGTCATCTAAGCATACAATAGTATTTTCTACTATATCTCTATTCTCCCTCTTGACAGCGCCAAATAATTCACTGGCCAACCCTGTCCTCAGTAATATAAGCCAAGGTCCTAGGATAACCATGTGCCACAGTTTGAGTTCTACTTGGTTACTTACCAAAGCTTAAACTAAATCTTAATATTACTGTTATGTTAAAAGTGTTACACAACCAAGAAAAGCATGAGAATTGCTTCCCTACAATGATGGAAAATCTTACATGAGCATTTAACCTGACTTTCCTGACAAATTAGAAGTTTGAGTACTCTGATCCGTTTCTTCAAACCCTAAGTCAGTACTTGGATGGTCTCACGTCAGCCTGTGTTAAAATTAAGCTGGTCTATTTCTCTTTCTCATGGAGTCCTGAGATCTCCTTTAAATCTCCCTGCCCATTCTGGTGCTTTCTCCACTCTCAGGACTCAAGGTGACCGAGCACCAGTCCCTGGATGCTGGCCCTGGGCCACATGGCACTCTGAATGAATGCAAGGAAGCAAGTGCCTACGTACACATCTTGGATGTGGCTCTGATCCCTGGCTGGCTCCACTCACCCCTCACTGGACTTTTTCAGAAGGGGAGGGAGTAAGACTCAAAGAGAGAAGGACCCAGAAGCTGATCCAAGGCCAGCTGGAATAAGGGTCAACTGGAAGAGAGTCCAGGCAGAGATATTTAAACAGCCCTGATTTACATGGGAAGCAGTCTAATAAATCAACATTAACACAGTACATTTCCAAAATGCAGATGCTGGCCAATTTCTCCAAGACTGAAGGACATTTCTAACTTTTCCTTTAGGAGATGGCATGAGCACAAGTCAGAAATACCAAGTTCAAATCCAGATTCTATTAAGACTCTGCTGAAGCCCTTGTGAGACTTCAGGCATTTCCTAACTTTCAGCTTGTTTCCTCAACTATAAAAGCAGCCAGTCCACAGAGATGACTTTTATGACTAGATAACTAGTTAATGATTTTAAAGGCAGGAGCATCACAAGTCTGAGAAAAGTCAAAAGCAAATATCAGAGTCAGAATAGAAGGGACAATGGTTGGGGAGGGCGCCTGGGTGTCTCAGTCGGTTTAGAGTCTGACTCCATTTCCTCTCATGATCTCAGGGTTGTGGGATCCAGCTTGTCAGGTTCTGTGCTCAGCGTGGAATCTGCTTGTCCCTCTCCCTCTGCTCGTCCCCCTGCGTGTGCACCCTCGCGCTCTCTCCCCCTCAAATAAATCTTAAAAAAGAAGAAGAAGGGACAATGGGCCTTGAGAGCCTCTAGAAGACGATGATCAGAAAGTTCCCCAATAAGGTAACAGACTGGGGTAAAAAACCCAGAATTGCTCTCTAAGAATATCTTATAGATTTCTTCCTTCTAGGTTCTGTTCTGCCTAATAGTCAAACACAGATTCAGCTCCTTCCAGAACATCTGAGTGATGATACATAGAATGGACATACCCACAGACATCATTCCACACGGTCTACCTGGCAGGGCTGGTAACTCAACCTTGACCTAAATGAAATGAAAGATCCCAAGGGGCACAGACCCTGACCTCTGTAACTCAGAAAATGATCTCATCATTTGGAGTCTCAACTTCCTTAATGCACAGTCTAAAAACCTGAGTGAAGTTTTACAGTCTCTAGTTCAGTTTTACAGTCCCCAAAGTTTTAGGAACACCCAACTCGTTCTAAGGCTCTCAGATACACTATTCTGTCATAAAATCTTAACTAGAGTTCAAAATGGTATTCAAATACTTAAATAGCATTGTAGAAAACGTAACCGGTGAAAACCTATGGCAGTTCCTATAATAGTGCACTCATCTGATATTCCCACACATCTTTACTTCTCCTGCCTCAATAAAGTCCCTTGTTCAGCAAATTTACTTTATCGGTCCAATTAAGGCCAATTAAAGTTAAATTGCTTTGAACATGGGTTTCATAAATGTGACTAAGAATTTAAATTATCAATTACCCCACCTACAATAAACTTTGGCTTTGCTCTTTGGCAGTCAGAATCGGAATGGATAACACCTGTCCAGTAGCTGGCACACAGTAGGAATTCAATTAGTGCTTCCCAATTCATCACCATTAATAGCCACCAATTAGTCAGCAAATACCCATGCTCGGCAGGAAGTAAGCATTGTGCATACGGTCTCTTAACTCCTTACAACTTTACTAAGCAGTAATATCTCCATTTTACAGATAAGGAAACTAAGGCTTAAAATAAATTAACAGCTGCTACATGGACCAGAAGGATCAGGTCTCTTGCTCTCAGCAGGGCCCACTGAACTTTTCCGTAGAGTGCAGAGTTGAGGACACTGGACCAGAAGTTGTGAGACTCTCAACCTCACTGTTACTTACACCCACATTAGTTACAGACACCGGTGACAACTGATGTGATCGCGGCCTGTATGCACACTGGCTCTCCTGGGAGGACCAAGGCTGCTCCTGAAGCTGGAACTTTACCAAAAGAAGGGAACGGGACAGAATTTGACATACACCACAGCCCCCTACAAGGTGGTTCCTGCCACACTCTAAGCTCTAAGGGAAAGATACACTCCCGGGTGTGATCAGCCACTCCCCTCTGTCAGCCTCCTAAGCAGAGCATTTCTAGAAGGAGGCAGACTCTGCTGACAGGCTTATTCTTACCCACAGGAGGACTTGCAGCAGCTCTAAGAGCAGTAACAGGTTTTAGCAAGTATGCTGCTTAGTGACCGGTTCCTGGCTAAAATCACATTTTGCAAGTCTCCATCCCAAAGATATTTTCTTGCCCCAATACATCCCCTTCACAATGCTGGCTTGAACAACTATTCCATGGAAGCCATCGCACCCAGTAGGCGTCAGGGGCAAGGGACCATCAAGCAGAACGTATTCCCTCTCCCGGCCCACATCATTGCTGCACTAACCAGTTCATACTCTCCAGATGGGTGGATGCACATTTACACACTCCTAAGTGTTCAGACACTAAACATCATCCATTAGCTGAGGTAACAGAAACCACCTTTCGTTTCAGATTTATAGCTTAACAATTATTTCTACCGAGAGGAGGCAGAGAATAAGCAGCTGGCCAGCCCTGCAGACCACCAGCCCGCAGCCTCCCCACCCCCAACCCGTTTCTTTGCTTCACTAGCAGGTGTTATCAGGAAAACCTGACGTTAGGATTCACCAATTTCAAAATTCTTAGTTGCAGAAATCAAGAGGGCTTCCCCCCCCCCCAGCTCTAAAATCCCACTCGCCCCTCAAAACACAAAGTCCTCTCTTTAGGTGGCTGCACTTTGCTTTCTCCGGTCTGTTGGTCCTGGAAGGACCTCGGTTCAACTAAAAGCCTCAGGGGAGGAGGGCACTCCTCGGAGTTTATTTTTCAGTAGCACAGATCAAGAATGAAGGCCCACAGCGATCAAGGCGGACTAAGCTCCCAAACCCCTCTCCAGCCTAAATAGTTTGATCATGTGGGAACCAAACACTGTCTAAAGAAAGAAAAAGAGGCTAAGCAACGCCAGTCTCCACTTTCTCCGGGGAGGAGCGCCGCTACACTAGGGAAGGGGGGAGGGGGGAGGGGGGAGGGGGTTGTCTTCCAAACTATGTTTGCAAAGCCCGGGCCCAGACCGGATATTTTTTTGCTTTAACCCCTGGGCTCGGGCCTGCAAAACGCAGAGGCCGGAAGGGTCTTCGGGCACCGCCGGGCGCTCCGAGGCCCTGGGGGGGTGGGGGGGGAACCGCTCCTAGGGTCTTGTTTTTGCAGCTGATCTAGTCGTGCGAACAGGTGCTTGGTCAATTCCATCTTTTGAAAACGGGGTGTTGGGGAGGAATGAAGAGCAGCTCCCGCAGGAGCGCGCGCCGTGCGCGGAAGCCCACGCAGGGCAGGATGCAAAGTGCCCGTGCAACTTCTGCGGGGCCAGCGGCGTGGCGGGCGCCGGGGGAGGCCTGGGTCTTCTCGACCGCGGTCCCAGCCAGCCCTCAGCCGCGCCACGGCCGCCCCCGCCCCGGGCACACGCGCGAAGCTCAGCCGAGCGTGCCACCTGCCGGGGTCCCGGCAAACGTGCCCGCGGGGAAGGACCGCCGGGAAGCACTTTGTTTAAAAGAGAAGAAGAAGAAAAAAAAAAAAAAAAAAAAGTAGACTCTCCCGGGGCCGAGGACAGTCCCGCCGGGCAGCGGGGCCGCGGTCCGCGGGGCTCGGGTTTCCAGGGCCGAATCGGGGGCGGCGCCGCGGCGGGCGGGGCTGCTGGCGGGGCTCCCCGGGGGCGCGGATCGCGCGGCGCGGATCGCGGATCCCGGGCGGGGGCGGGGGCGGGGGCGGCGGGAACGCGGGCGCCCGGGTCGCTGCTGGCGCGGGCCGGCGCCCGGCGGGGGGTCGGGAACTTACAGCCGCCGGTCCTCGGGCTGCAGCTGCCAGTGCATGGCGAGCGAGAAGCCGAAGAGGCTCCCGGGCTCCCCAGCTTTCCGGATCACATGGTCCTCGCGGGTGTCCAGGTTGAAGGCGGCGCCGAGCCGGGGCAGGAGCCCCGCCGACAGGTAGAGCAGCCACAGCCGCCCCGCGGCCGCCATGGGCCGGCGCCCCGGAGGGGGAGCGGAGCGGAGGGGGAGCGGGAGCGGAGCGGAGCGGGAGCCGCGGCGCCCTGCGCTCGGGCCGGGTTCGAGGCTGCAGCCGCCGCCGCCGCCGCCGCCGCCGCCGCCGCCGCCGCCGCCTTCGGCTCCTCGGGCCACCGCGCCGGCCCCACCCCCGGGACGAGTCGCGCTGCCGCCGGCCGCTCCCCCTCGCGGGCAGCTCCCGGCCGCTCCGCTCAATGAGCCCGTTGTTCTCTGGAGACTCGCCGGCGTTTTATCAAGTGACGAGGCCGCCGGCCCCGCCCCGGCCCTGCCCTCCGCTCCCTCGCCGCCGCCTCCCGCCGCCGCCCGCCGCCCGCCGCGCACCTTCCCGGCCCGCCGCGTCCCCGCCGCCCACCTGGCCCCGAAGCGGCCGCGGGAGCCCCGGGGCGGGGGTGGGGGGTCCCGGCCCAGCCGCCCCATCCTGGGGGGGGTCCTCCGCCAACGAGGCCCCGGGAGGGCGGCTGCTGGGCGCGCTCGGCCCCCGGGAGCCCACAGGAGAGCGGCGGGGGGGGGGGTCTGCAGGCGCGGTCCAGCCCCCGGGAGCCCGCAGGCGGCCAGCGCGCCCGGAGCCCGCAGGAGCGCGGGGGCGGGGGGGGTGGGGGGCGGGGGGTCTGCAGGCGCGGTCCAGCCCCCGGGAGCCCGCAGGAGCGCGGGGGCGGCGGGGGTGGGGTGGGGGGCGGGGGGTCTGCAGGCGCGGTCCAGCCCCCGGGGAGCCCGCAGGAGCGCGGGGGCGGCGGGGGGGGTGGGGGGCGGGGGGTCTGCAGGCGCGGTCCAGCCCCCGGGGAGCCCGCAGGAGCGCGGGGGCGGCGGCGGGGGTGGGGGGTGGGGGCGGGGGGGGTCTGCAGGCGCGGTCCAGCCCCCGCCCCAGCGGTCCACGCTGACACGCGGCGCACGACGCAGTCCACGGAGCGCGGCTGTGATCCCGGCCCGCGAACGCTCCCGTGCGGGGGCTCTTCTCTTCTCGCACGTTAGAAAACTGAAGCTCAGCCCTGACCCTGAGCACCCAGGATGTGCCCCGGCGGGAAGGAGAGCTCTGGGGGGAAGTCACACCGGGCTCGGCAGTTTAAAACTTGGTTTCTAGGTGCAATGAAGCTCAGGAGCAGCTCCTCGACAGTAAAGGATGTGGGTGATTAAGAGGGTACCGGGCACCTGGTGGCTCAGTGGTTGAGCATCTGCCTTTGGCCCAGGGCGTGATCCTGGAGACCTGGGATCGAGTCCCGCGTCGGGCTCCCTGCATGGAGCCTGCTTCTCCCTCTGCCTGTGTCTCTGCCTCTCTGTGTCTCTCATGGATAAATAAAATATTAAAAAAAAAAAAAAAGTTGATACCTATGGGCTCGGGAGCCCTTCTTTCCTGCCCCCAAATTCGCAGGACTAGATCCTGGCCAGGAGGCAGCTCAGAGCTCTGTGTGGGTGGCCTAAGGCCTCCTGCCTCCAGAGCATGGGGTGTGGCCTCCAGTGAGGTCAGTGAGATGTTGACCTCTGGGGTAACTTTATTAGCAAGAGTTCTTGGGCAGGGGAGAGAGAATTCAGGGGTACTGTGAGATTTCGGTGACAAAAAAATTTACATTTTTCATTTCACTAGCCTCTAACATTTAGCATTTCCTTCCATTATGAATGTAGGCAACACAACACAGTGGCAGTAGGGTAAGGACCTATGACTTATTCTCCAGTAGAACCCACAGGGTTTTTTTTACATCACATCATACCTTCGATTACAGTGGTTATTAGGTAGACCCCCTGCTAGATCTTGTTATGCAATAGGTTAATTAAAAAGTATATATAGGGGATCCCTGGGTGGCTCAGCAGTTTAGCACCTGCCTTGGACCCAGGGTGTGATCCTGGAGTCCTGGGATCGAGTCCCACGTCTGGCTCCCTGCATGGAACCCACTTCTCCCTCTGCCTGTCTCTGCCTCTCTCTCTCCCTCTGTGTGTCTATCATGAATAAATAAATCTTAAAAAAAATAAAAAATAGGAATCCCTGGGTGGCACAGCGGTTTGGCGCCTGCCTCCTTTCCTGGAGTCCTGGGATCGAGTCCCACATCGGGCTCCCTGCATGGAGCCTGCTTCTCCCTCTGCCTATGTCTCTGCCTCTCTCTCTCTCTCTCTCTCTCTCTCTCTCTCTCTCTCTCTCTGTGGCTATCATAAATAAATAAACATTTTTAAAAAAATAAATAAAAATAAAAAGTATACACACTGCTACAACACAAAATTTTTTTTTTACATTTTAACTGTGTTTCAAGATAATTGGTTTCCTTTGTAATCCCACGTATTTTATGCTTTAAAAAACCTTGTTCTGAAAAGAGATTCATGGTCTTTGGCACCCTGACAAAAGGGTCCCATGGCATTAAAAAAGCTTAAGAGGTGCCTGCCTGTAGGCTCCTGGAATGCCTTGAGGAGCCTGCCTTGCAATCTGATATCCCTGCATTGGAAACAGAAGCAGAGGGCACCTGGGTGGCTCAGTTGGTTGAGCATCTGCCTTTGGCTCAGGTCATGGTCTCAGGGTCCCGGATCGAGTCCCAGGGGGAAGGCTGCTTCTCCCTCTCCCTCTGCCTGCCGCTCCCCATGTTTGTGCTTGCACTCTCTCTCTCTGTCAAATAAATAAAATCTTTTAAAAAACAGAAACAGAGTACAGTCCCAGGGAAGACCTGGAGTTCTGTGTGTGCATGTGGTGTAGGGATAGGGATGCCCTTCACCTAAAGGAATATTTGTACCAAGGGAGCAGCCTACACTGCACAAAACTGCTGCCTAAGCCTCCTCAAGGGTCCTCGGGTGGAACAGCTGCCAGAGCAAGTCCCTCAGCATAGGAGGGGCATGTCCCACTCCTCTGCTAGTCAATAACTCCACTCAAGTATAGTCAAAAGTGGAGTGCAGTGAGTTCAAAGTCAGTAGACAATGTTGGAGATCACACTCTTTTAACAAATGCAAAACAATCTTGATAAGATCGTGAAACTAATCAAGTAAACCAAGAAAAATCTGTATTATGATTTTTCATGCAAGAAAGCCTTTTTTCTTCATGTTGAACACCTAGTATTACAGAGAAACAGATCCAAGCTATTACAGTTAGAGCACAGTGACCCTCGCTGCAGGCTGGTACCCAGTGGGAGCCACTGACCTGGCTGTAATGGTTACTGAAATACTTCTAAACTGGTTGATAAAAGCTCTGTCCTGAGCTCCCCAGGTTCAACTTGCCCCACCGTGGCCACTTTCCTAGGACTCACCAGCTTCCCCACAATACAGCAACTAGAGGTTTAAGCTTTTGTGCTGCTAGGTTGGGTGTGCGGGTGTCATAGCAGCTGTTCATGATACTGAATAACACTCATCTCCTCCAAGGGTTATTCTCTGTACCATTTGCTGCTCCCTTCCCCAGATCCCTTTAATAGATGACATTTGAATAGCCAGTTACGTCCTTGATCCCAAATATTGATCGTGCTCAAACTGACATTTTAAATAATGTTAAATTTAAAATAGCAACTAACTACAGAGCGCTGCTGAATTCAATGATGCTTGTTTGGGAAAAGGAAAGGATAAAGAAAACTTAGGATGAGAGACTTGTTCCAGAGTGTCTTGAGTTCCCATCACAGATGGAAAACCTTCAACCACACTCCAACCTTTCACCTATCTCCTGCCTAGGATGCCAAACATACTTGAAGTGGAATAAAACTCAGACTCTTAACAAGAATCTCTTTGAAGACTGTCAGCTTTTCCTGATTAACTGTAATAATCACGTTTTGTGAATCAGTTGTCATTGCCATGGTAAATAGGTCAGGCTAACAGAAGAGAGAAGCGCCTTGCGGACGGGAGTTGTAGAGGTCTTTCGGGATCTGCTGAAGATATTGTCCATTTCTGGGGAGAAGAAATGAAAGAAGCAAGAAACCTAAAAATTATGAAGTAGAGACCTGGGGAGGGAGGTGCATAGTTTTAATGCAAAAAATAAATCTGAGATAAGAAGACACTTGTCTGGAGGCAAATGGAGAGAGTTAACTTCATGATAAAGGCATGCTGACCACATAGGGCATGGCATGTGTGTGTATGCGTGTGCACATTGCAAGAAGGGCTCTACAAATCCAGTTAGGACAAAATCGTGTCATGTTCCCAAAAAGGCTGATTAGAAGACAGACAGGAATGCCTAAGAATATGACTATAAAATCACAGTAGATACTTCTACAAACAAAATTTTAAAGATTTTTATTTATTTATGATAGACATAGAGAGAGAGAGAGAGGCAGAGACACAGGAGGAGGGAGAAGCAGGCTCCATGCCGGGAGCCCGACGTGGGAAACGATCCCGGGACTCCAGGATCGCGCCCTGGGCCAAAGGCAGGCACTAAACCCCTGAGCCACCCAGAGATCCCCTACAAACAAAATTTTAAATAAAAAGTCAGTGAAGTCTTTGAATAGATATTTGCTTAGGTGAGAGCATTTGAAGTATATTTTACCAATACACTTTTCAAAAATTCAAATAATTCAAAAAATTATTTGTTCTATATCCTGCCTTTGGTAGGGGAGCTTTCAAATAATTTTAAACTATTGGTCACCTGTGGAGAAGTCGGAGAGACCCATGTCACGCCTGAAATATTTTCCATTTCCTGGGACCTACTGTAATCATTTTGCTATCAGGTTCTCTGTTGTACTGACTTCATCATCACCAACAGCAGAGAATATCATATTTGTGGCTTTTGAGGCAGCATAGAAACTAGCTATTGAAAATTTCTCCTTATTCTCATTTTGTGGTTGCATTATCCTGACAGTTTTGCATGTTTCCTGGAGCACATGGTCCGTGGAACCCAAGCCCCTTGCTTCAAATTCTATCTCTGTTCTAGCCTGGTCAGATGACCTTAAACCATGTAATCTCTCTATGCCTCAGTTTCCCTAGCTAGGAAGTAGGGATAATGATAGCATCAACCCCCAAAGAATTGCTTTAGCTTTACCTTAAGGATCAATAAAGTTGGCTGGAATCAGGAGAATTCAAATTGCCAGCTATACCTTAGCTTAAAACCCAGATATATTTTATTTATTTTTCTGGTTTCATTGAAAGATAATTGACATATAGCATTGTATAAATTTAAGGCATATAATGATTAGATACATACATATATATAGTAAATTCCACATGAGATGAAATCATGTGGTATTTGTCTTTCTCTGACCTCTTTCACTTGGCATTATACCCTCTAGATCCATCCGTGTT